ACGTATCTTTTATGCAGTCGTAAATTGTCGATGCTCGGCTTCAGTGGAACATTCGAGGCTTGCCACGAACGAAGCAATCTGATAGTAGTGGACACAACGGAGATCCCATTGCAATACCATGCTTCTGTTTACAGATGGTCTCGTTGAAAGTGAACTGTACAACTTAGTTGATTTTTGATGACTTCATTTTGTTTGCTTGCTTGCTTGCTTGCTTCCCTGCTTCTTTAATTTCTTATAATTCTTGTATTCATTTAGAACTCGTACGTAATTTCGTATTCTCTACTTTCTTTCTATGTGCATCCTGAGTACAACTCCATCATCCAACTATTCGTATCAATACGTAACTCCTTTTTAACAGATGTTTGTGACAACTCATCACCTTTGTTACTACCCTAATTTCATTGAGGCCCAATTTTCTTGACTCTTTTGCATTGCGTAACTCCACACAAGACTGACTAATTCTCACGTGTTCAGTTAACTCACCAAAACCAAGTGCATTTTGGTTTGGCAAACCTAATGTAGTTGACAGGTTTCGTCCGAGTTTACGCCTTTTCGGCTGTACGTACGCAATACAGGGGGGGGTTGAACCCACGTCCTGATGGTTACAAGGCGAGCTCACACACCATTCAGATACCCGGACACAATGAAATAGGCCAAGAATATTTTACTCAGCCAATTTATGCCATAGGTCCACCACTTCTCAATGTCTTCGTCGACAAGTCAGTGTCTCAGTCTTAGACCTGCTGAAGGCTGATAGTCACGGCTTCACGATAGAACCCCTGGTAACAGCTTCAGTAGCGCCATCTTCTTGTGGGCATCAGACAAATTGTCAAGTGATGGTAATTCTACCAAATATCTTTAATTCGTCAAAGACATATCTCCTACCTTGAAACAACTCATGTCCCTTCTGAGACTCGAACCCGCCTCACCCAGTGCTGCAATCTGAGACGATACCACTGATGTATTCTGACTGGCGATTCACCACCTCCTCACTGTATGACTGTATTGTATACATTGATTGGAAACTAGTAAGTAGTATGAGGTGTCTAGTGCTTTCTGATAAGTGCGAAATCGGGAGAAACCTAGAACTAGGGCTTCCTGCCGATTGTCTCCGACCATCTAATATCATCAATCCTGGGACTGCTACCTAACCGTTCCGTGCTAGTTTTCGACTCTTCATGTGCACACACCCACTGGTTTCCGATCGCACGACCTTCTATTTACAAGCCTGGCTCCCTGACCATTAAGCTGGTGGAAGCCTACTGACAGTAGTTAGAATTGATGGACCATCGGATCGAGTCTCATTGGCCTAATGGTCTTCGAGGCCGCCTAATAACAGGAGGTTCCTGTGTTCGAACCCTGATGGGCGCGTACAGCGGAAGAGTCACAAACTGAGACGAAATGGATGGCCAGTTCTCCTGGGTTCCTGTTCCAATGCTTCTCCAACATATATCAGCTCATGACGAAATCCTCCAACCAACGGAACGGAAAATCCCTACAAAACCAGTACTTCAAAACCTAATTTACCCACACATTCAAAATAACCCATATACATATAATATATATATATATATATTCGCCATTCTACAGCTAAGAAATTGAATTCCCCGGAAACAGACGCTTCTTCGCTGAACTACGTGTTTTGTTCTCATCAATGTAATGCCTGGATGTGGATTATTCATCATGAATTCCATTGTTACCACTGTTATTCTACGTGATTGTACGTGATTGTACAATGCGCGTATTCAGCCCGTCAGCATTGCGAAAATATTAAAAATCCATAGAATAGTTAGTACCTCGAAAATCATAAAATTAAGTTAAAGTGTAAGTTAAAAGGAAGCAGTATAATAACCCTGATATAATTCACCTAACATTTTCTCAAAATTTGCATGCACAACCCCTAAAAATATTAATTCCAAAGCATATCCATGCTACTATGATCAACGAGCATGAATTATTCTCCTCTCGGCCATTGACGGATTCAACAAAACCTGTTCATTCTTTATACTAGTCCCGACTTTCATCTGACTGAGCTGTTGTCCTGCTTCGCAATTATTCTACCAAGTACCAAATTAAGCATTATGCAGAAACTAGAACCTCCACTAGGAATCAGACAAGAGTAACAACAACAGTCGTCCTAGTCATCTCGTCTTATCGCCATATAACCAAAGTGCAAACAGATATTCTGTGAAAAACCATTAGGATGCGATGGTAACTCAGAAATATACTCTGGTTCACAGCAGAAATGAACAGGTAAAATAGGTCATAGTCAGACGAATAAGATCAACAGTTTCACTTTCTTATAAAAACAAATGTATTAACTAATCAAGTGAAGGCCTCCTTCTTTTTTTTTTTGGTCAGACAAATAATTAGGCATGACTCATCCATCTTAGGATTAATATGCTAACAGTGTGAATATTATTTACGGTATTTATGGGTCAGCGTAGATTTTACGTGTTTTTTTCTCCTTCTTCTTAAGACTGACGACTAAGCTCACAACGCCACACACTGACAAAAACAGAGAGAGAGAGTAGTCAAAGCAAGCAAAGGATAAGACAATAGACAATATTTTACATCAAATTAGGGGACACTTATCAATCAGTAGCTTCATTGAATATATGTGTGCTCTCTTACGTGTTCTCTCTCTATTTGTAGGTGTGTGCAGCGTTGTCAAGCTTAGTCATCTGTCTTGATGAAAAAATGTTAATGAAAAACTGTACTGATCCATAAATATATGAAATCACGTTCACACTGTTAGCATATTTATCCTAAGATGGATGAGTCATGCCTATTTATTTGTCTGACCAAAAAAAAAACAAACAAAAAACACCTTCACTTGATTAGTTAATACATTTGTTTTTACAAGAAAGTGAAACTGTTGATCTTATTCGCCTGACTATGACTTATTGTACTTTACTTCTTCATATCTGCTATTTTAATTTATTCAGGGATATCATTGGATCTTATCTGTTTGAATCGATTACATGTGTGTAGAATATCTGCTCTCTTGACAGTTTTCTAGTTGAATTAGGAAGTGATTTCCAGTACTGAGACTTGTACTCGGAACAGGCGAACAATGAAACGAGCTTACGAGGTGATGACACCACTCAGGTATAGTAAGTGAGTGAATGAGTGAGTGAGTGAGTGAGTGAGTGAGTGAGTGAGTGAGTGAGTGAGTGAGTGAGTGAGTGAGTGAGTGAGTGAGTGAGTGAGTGAGATACACAGCAGTAATGAACAAGTACAATTAGTCACCCTCGAAGAAATGGGAAAATCCACTCGGATTTAGAAAATTGCAGATATATTATTTCCTGAAATATAACATAACATAGGAGAATAGCAACCACAACATCCTAGCATCTGTGCCCAAGAAGACTGTACTTTGTCACCTTTAACTAATACAGGGTCAATCAAAATAAGGCTTCAGTTTTATTCGTTTCCTAATGTGTGTGTTTTTCACGTCTTTGAAAATATCCTTCCTCATGGTCGAAATAATTGAACTACTCAAATGTATATTCGCTAGCGCCGTTTACATCGACCGACCTATTTCGATTATAAGTTTCCAGACCGTAGATGTAGGTGTTACGAACTTCGTGGAATAATTTCAGTGCCACGTCACATTGATTCATTCATTCATTCATTATAAATTATTGAAATTAATCACAGTGTGTGTTTTTGAGAAAATATCCGAATAATTCGTCTGACAAAGCTGTGGCTTACACAGAGAAACGCTCAGAAAAATCTTCTCTTGATTTTTCCTAAACATGCTGGGATTGATTTGAATAATTTATAATGACCCATTTAGATTTTTCACTGGATTTACTTGCATGTTCAGAGCAGACATATCATAAACAGTTCTCCAGACATCGAGATTTTCACCGTCTTATCCAAAAGATGACCTACTGTAATTTGTTTGTTTCATTGTGTCGTTTTCCACTTTAATAGACAGAATCACACTTCGCCGCTTCCTACTAATCCTCTTTTCATATTCCTCTTGATATCGAAAAGAGATATTCACTGACTTATGTGTTTTCCTTATATAAGCACCAGAAGTTAGTTTAATAGAAAGAAATTATACAATTGTAGAAACGTCTTTGACAGATAACTGATATACAATAGCGAATTAGAATTCCTGGTAAAAACGATTATCAATTCAAGTTGCTACACCATAAAAAACACATGCAGTAATAGTGATTGATACTAACAAAATTAGCATTGATATGGAAGGAGGAGAACATAGTAAAGTATAAATAGCTATAACATTTTGGATTACTCAGGTGGTAAACGACAACCAATATATTTATTTTTATTATTATCACTGTTATTCAACTGATTGGAGATGCTCCCTGGAAACTTTAGAAAACTCATGAATGAACAAGGAATATGATTTTCAATAACTTACTCATAATGTTATAAAGTTATATGACCAAAATAATTAAACAATGATTGTAAATAACATCATTAATGTTGTTTCTTTTTTTTCTTAATTATGAAATCAACTGTGAATCAATAATATCGATAGACAGCGGTTCAAAAGCATCTGCAAGTGATAACATAAGTGATAAGGATAACACTAGAAATGAATGTCGGATAACTTAAGGAAAGTAATACGGAATTTATAAATTTATCCGTTTCACAACAAGCCCAGGCTGGTAACAGTGACCAGACCCGTTATTTGCACACACAGCTCCCTCCGGCTGATTTAAGCGAATTATAGTGGCGTTGGCCATCTGGAGTGTTCGGTATCCAATAGCCTTTGTTAATTTGTTCCATACCCCATAGGTGAAACAGGAGGAGTCTCCAATGCTAGCTTTATGGCCTGTTTGAACGAGGTGACCTAATTCAAAACTGTTAACGGTTTTAACCACACCGTTATTTAGTAGCACTGATAGGTGTGGTGTCCTGAGCCAGCAAAACATAACTGGCTCCTCAGGAGCAGTTCAATCCATAGACACAATAAGAAGTGGCTAGTCTAGTTACTTCGCACACACAGTCCTGTCATAATGTGTATCGATCAAGAAGAACTAACTGTAACAACATCTCAAGCCATTGAGAACACTTTATTGATTCAAATTCAAAATTGTCGCGAACATTTTCAAACAGTAAAGCAAGTAAGTGAACACTTGTATGCAAAAGAACCTCAAACACATAGAACAAATTGTCAACATATAATAACAAAACATGTTCAAATGGAAAGTGATCCTAATTTTGGTATGACATTATCTTCAGAAACAATGATGAGCAATATCAAAATGTATGAAAATAACACATCTAGTGAAGGCGCAACAGTAAAAAACAAGTCTCCTGACGACAACCTTGCCGTTTTCATTCCTCATACACGTAAGCCATTAAAGCACGCAGAAAGTGTGCTTGCGCTTTAAGAATTGTATAACAATCTTCCATTCGGTCTTCTACAATGAAAACAAGATTCAAAAAAGCTTCAGTATGTAAGATATCAAGTTTATGAGCAGTAAGGAATGCCAGTAATAACTACGACTTCCGCTTTCATGTATTTCAGACTAGTAGTAAGGGTGGGTTATAAACTGATCCCTTTACATCTATCATTCCTCGTCTGTGAGAGCAGGTGGCGTGGATGTGCACTCTCCAAATTGTCAACTGGCGAGTCGACAACCCACTCCGTCAACCCAGACGCCAACCGACAAGCACACTGAGGCAATCAATGGCTATCATGATGTCATCAACATCAGCCAAAGCTCTTATCCAGTAGGAACCAATCTCACCCTCTGGGATAATGACAGCAAGATTCAACTCAGAAGCAAGCAAAGCTACAATCTTCCAATGTGACACCCGAATCGCATCTGACGGACATACCAATAATCTGATAGATTTCATCTTGATTTCAAAGAAGTGGAAACACAGCTTGCTGATAACAAACGCAAGGAGGAGGGAGTGCAGATGTGGCTCAGATCATTATCTAGTTAGTTCAGGAGAAATTCAAGGTCAGTGCTGAGAGGCATCAAAGTGACTAAAGATAGACCACAAATCAAGTTCAATACCCAGAAACTGAAGAACAAGACTAGACCAAACGCCTTCACTGCAGTCACCAAAGTAAAGTTGGAGACATTAGCCACCAGCACCACTGAGAAAACCTGTGTAGAATAATATTGGAATTTTCCGAAAGTGATGCTCAAGTAAACGTGTACAAATATTTTATTAAGAAAGAAGAGGCAAGTAAAGGAATGTCTTTCTACAGACACCTGGAAGCTAATAGAAGATAATTTGAAATATTCATTTCTCGAATCGAACTCAAAATGGGCAACGAAAGTTAGTAAAGCAGGAATCAATGAATTCATCAAATTTCAGTAGAACTATTCAGCTGGATACCCGATATATATACGGATATATACATGTATATATGTATATGTATACCTTCAGAAATCATTGGGACACATAAGATCGCTAAGATACTGAGAATTTCAAACTAAATAATACTGATAAGAATAATAACAATTAATAATAATAATATTAACAATAATAATAACGACAAAACGAGTCAAGACAACGTTAATGATACATGACAATTTTACATGAATTAGAAATAGTAATAATAAGAGATAGAATAAAACATTTGATAATAACAGTTAATAAATCAAACATATTATCATGGTAGATTCAGAGTGACTGCTGTCTCCTTTCGAATACAGAGACCTGGTTTATAAACTCTAATTGCATAAGCTTCCACAATCGACAGCATCTCCCTGTACTGTTTGTCTGCTGACAACGGGGAATGATTTGACAGCGTCAATATCATGTGCATAATTCAAAAGATGCTTTTTTATTGGACTTTTAGGCACTTCGACTCCACATGTTTTCAACCACCTTGGCAAATGCTCCATCATGCGAGAAGACAGTCGCCTTTCTGTACGACCTATGCATATGCTTTCACAAAGACACTCAATAGGATTGTGAAACAGGAGATGAACCAATGCAAAGATGGACAACAGAAGGAGATGAGTCCAATGTACACGCCAGTGAATAGTGCATGGGAAGACAGCAGATAATTCTATGACACACTGGGAACTGAAGCAGAACAGGCAACACGCACGAGAGACCTCGGACCTCAGACCATATCAGATAATCAGGTCTCTGTCCGAGAAATGAACAAAACAGATGAAACCAACCAGACACAGTGAAGTAAATCGATCGTCACCTGAAACTTGTTCAGAAATACCACCGACAGCACACACTGAACTGCTAGTGGACACCAATCGTCCAACAAAGTCAGAAGTCTCGAATACGATCGAGCTACTGAAGTCCACGAAGGCAGGAAGGCAGCAGGACCGAAATCATTTCGGAAACATTGATGGCGAATCCAGAGACCACAGAGGATACGCTCAAGCCCCTATTGCAAACTGTTTGAAAGGAAGGAAAGGTTTCTGCTGGTTGGAAGAAAGGCTGGCCACCTTGTCAAAATATCGAGGGACAGCGACTTAGGCCTTTGCAAAAACTGGCGCGGAATCATGCTCTTATCCACGCCAAGTAAAATAAAAGTAAGTCACATCATCCTGGAGAGAATAAATGATGCAGTGGATACAGAAATCCACCAGCCCCACCGGAACAAGCTGGATTCTGGAAAGGCGAAGCATGTGCTGATCAAATTGCAACTCTACCTATCAAACTTTCTATTTTGGTTTAACGAATGTTGGAATACAGCTAAACGCAGCTCAATACTGCCTCACCTCCTCAATACTGACTCGACATCTAATCGACTCTGACAAAACTTCTAAAGTTATTTATCGCATATCACCCAATCTCTCGCATGGTCTACGAGTAAGACTTTACCATACAGCAGAGGCAATCGGAATTCTTCTGAACAAGTCAAATCTGTTTGTTCAGTGGAAATTTGTACAGCCCGTTTCTTTGCCATGGATGGCCAACTAAATAATATGTATTAACTTTTGAAAAACAATTTTTTCCCTTCCTCTTTGTAACTATCTTTTAATTAGTTAGGATCACAGTTTACTTTATGTATGTCCGAACGAACTTACTTTCAATAGCTTGATAAAACTTTGCCACTAGGTGTATGATATTCATTGGGAAATACAAAACACATTAGTTATATTTTACTTCATCGAAATGTCTCAAACACGTGATAAAAATGCTCAAATTGTAAATAGGACAATGAAGGTTGGTAAGTGTTGACAAGGGTTGAGCAATATGAAACACACCCGAGAAACACAGGATGTCAATGAGACGGTACGGAGAGAGACGTGTCCAAAAAAATAAATTATGTAATAGGTAGAAAGAGTAAATAAATGTTTGGTTAAGATGTCGTCGAAAAATTCAAAACCAAAATAGCATTATTATTAACCAAGTAGTAGTAGTAGTAGTAGAACTTGGAATTACACTCAAGGTAGAAGGAGGTGGTGGAGAAGTAAGTCTCTTCTGTGTGCATTACTCAGTGTTTTCTATCAGCACTCACTGCTGAGGAAGGCCTCGACAATGCAAAGTATACAGAAGCTTACCGTTTTCACGAGGCTTCTTTTGGCTTTGTAGGTAGATGACTGAATGTATTCTCCGTGCATATTGAGTGGCCAGTGTTGAATATATTTGTTGAATTATAGCACTCTGTGTTGATCCACTGTTACCTTTTCGTAGCCGAATGCAAAGGGAAGAATATCCAACGCCCTGAAAAGAACGTCCTCTGCTGCTACATTACGATCGGTATTCTCAAACCGCCCATTGTTCTTCAACAACTCCAAACATCAACTATCGCATTTGACCACTTCCATGTGTATCCACCAATTCACTTGCTCATGTGGAGCGAGATGTATACGCCGTTTGATGCGTGTTCCATCTGAGAGAGTCAGGAAACATTGCCCCACTTGTCACAAATAATGAATGTGTCTTCTACGTATCTTTTATGCAGTCGTAAATTGTCGATGCTCGGCTTCAGTGGAACATTTTCGAGGCTTGCCACGAACGAAGCAATCTGATAGTAGTGGACACAACGGAGATCCCATTGCAATACCATGCTTCTGTTTACAGATGGTCTCGTTGAAAGTGAACTGTACAACTTAGTTGATTTTTGATGACTTCATTTTGTTTGCTTGCTTGCTTGCTTGCTTCCCTGCTTCTTTAATTTCTTATAATTCTTGTATTCATTTAGAACTCGTACGTAATTTCGTATTCTCTACTTTCTTTCTATGTGCATCCTGAGTACAACTCCATCATCCAACTATTCGTATCAATACGTAACTCCTTTTTAACAGATGTTTGTGACAACTCATCACCTTTGTTACTACCCTAATTTCATTGAGGCCCAATTTTCTTGACTCTTTTGCATTGCGTAACTCCACACAAGACTGACTAATTCTCACGTGTTCAGTTAACTCACCAAAACCAAGTGCATTTTGGTTTGGCAAACCTAATGTAGTTGACAGGTTTCGTCCGAGTTTACGCCTTTTCGGCTGTACGTACGCAATACAGGGGGGGGGGTTTGAACCCACGTCCTGATGGTTACAAGGCGAGCTCACACACCATTCAGATACCCGGACACAATGAAATAGGCCAAGAATATTTTACTCAGCCAATTTATGCCATAGGTCCACCACTTCTCAATGTCTTCGTCGACAAGTCAGTGTCTCAGTCTTAGACCTGCTGAAGGCTAATAGTCACGGCTTCACGATAGAACCCCTGGTAACAGCTTCAGTAGCGCCATCTTCTTGTGGGCATCAGACAAATTGTCAAGTGATGGTAATTCTACCAAATATCTTTAATTCGTCAAAGACATATCTCCTACCTTGAAACAACTCATGTCCCTTCTGAGACTCGAACCCGCCTCACCCAGTGCTGCAATCTGAGACGATACCACTGATGTATTCTGACTGGCGATTCACCACCTCCTCACTGTATGACTGTATTGTATACATTGATTGGAAACTAGTAAGTAGTATGAGGTGTCTAGTGCTTTCTGATAAGTGCGAAATCGGGAGAAACCTAGAACTAGGGCTTCCTGCCGATTGTCTCCGACCATCTAATATCATCAATCCTGGGACTGCTACCTAACCGTTCCGTGCTAGTTTTCGACTCTTCATGTGCACACACCCACTGGTTTCCGATCGCACGACCTTCTATTTACAAGCCTGGCTCCCTGACCATTAAGCTGGTGGAAGCCTACTGACAGTAGTTAGAATTGATGGACCATCGGATCGAGTCTCATTGGCCTAATGGTCTTCGAGGCCGCCTAATAACAGGAGGTTCCTGTGTTCGAACCCTGATGGGCGCGTACAGCGGAAGAGTCACAAACTGAGACGAAATGGATGGCCAGTTCTCCTGGGTTCCTGTTCCAATGCTTCTCCAACATATATCAGCTCATGACGAAATCCTCCAACCAACGGAACGGAAAATCCCTACAAAACCAGTACTTCAAAACCTAATTTACCCACACATTCAAAATAACCCATATACATATATATATATATATATATTCGCCATTCTACAGCTAAGAAATTGAATTCCCCGGAAACAGACGCTTCTTCGCTGAACTACGTGTTT